GAAAAGCGTAATCGCGTCATCAATGAAGGTTATACCAACACAATAAAAGAAATGTACAATTTATCATCAGGCACCATAACACTTCTTATTAGAAGTGACAGAAGCTCAATAAACGAGGGGATAAGACAGGAAGACATCATGTGCCCAAAGGTTTTCACCGTGTGAATATAGGAGGTTTTCGGGGCCCTCCACTAGGCACTGTAAGAGATAAAGTCTCATGGAGAGTACGTAATATGTGATACGCTGGTGGCGTTCGATCGACGAGTTCGGGTGATGAATTACAACTCATGATGACGAAGTAGAGAATTAAAACACTAGGTTTTGTCTGAAAATTGTTATGCACAAAGGTAAAGTAATGTGTGTCAGTGTAGGGAGAGAAAAACGCTTTGCGCTATGTGGCGAGACACAAAAGGCTGCAAAGGAATACGTGTACATAAAACAGATGGTAACCGTGGTGCCAAATCATAAAAGCATGTGATTAGAGCAACATGGATGGAGTGTGGCACATTCAGCAAGCGTTCTGAACACATGAATGATTGTTTACCGCTATCTCCCCGGAGGAACGTATGCAACAGTTACATCTAACAAGTGATTACTTACGACAAGACCTGGAGGCCTAATAGGAACGTTTACCTAAAATTGATGATAAGGCAGAGAGAAATGAAAAGAAAAATGATAGGTGTAAGCCTAACGGACAGGGAGACAGCTGAGTGGCCCAGGGAACAAACCAGTGTTTAGGACATATTAGTTCAAATAAAGAAGAAGTTGGCATGAATAGGGCATCTAACATACAGACCGGATAACCCATGCATTTCAAGAAAATAAACACATGCCAGGGAGAGGCAGAACGTTGGTGGGCATATTGGAGAAGTTTGCGGGTAAACGTGGCTTTAGGAAGCACATGGGTCTCTTCTGGGTTAGTTGGCGGAAGATGCGATGGCAATTTGCTCTGCAATGGGCGTAGTTAGACAGACGATGACGACTTATTGTGAACCAATCCAAGGACATGTGCGAACTCGGCGATTACCATGAAGCTTGAGGAGGACGTTACAGCAGATCTTGCATGCCGTCGCTTTGCAGTTGTCCATACTTCACTGCTGCCTTACGTGTTATTGAACAAAGATCATGACATTGTTGGCACCTTGTCTACGCTATTGAAGCCATGCTGCACATTTTCTGGACCTTATCTAAATCCAACTGGCAATATTGAATCGTCCGACTACAGAAGATAAAAGCAAATTAGGAGCCGCACTAGGCCTGTAAAGTCCATGCTCAAATCCTTAGAGACAACTAGGTGCATAGTGCACTGCAAAATATACTGCAGTGATTATTGGTAGGCGCGGTACCTTGGAGATAGGAAGAAAAGACGACGAAGCATTTGGCTGATAGAACTCTGTTTCAGTAGGCCTTTCCATCCTTCGCCTAATGGGTCTCTTCCAAGTAGGTAGCCTGCGCATGCAAGCTGGCCTCAAGGATGTACGAGCACGGCATGCGCCATGATTTTTGGAGGCCAAAACGTGACGACACGTGCGAACCAAGCGACATCTGGTGCCTCAAGCATGCAAATGTTTTCCTGAAAGAGAGTTGTGAATGCAGCTTTCTGAAATTGCTTACCGGTATGTGGAGGACGATTTCGTAGCACAAGAGCCACTAGATTTGATTTCGGTAATCTCCACTTGGGGTGCTGTTCGGGTTAGGAGAAGGCTCATTATAAGTAAACTTCATGAACAACACATCCGTGTCTGTTGTTGATGGACGTGGGCCTCCAAGGACGTCCGCCAAGTACGGCAGCGTCGGCGGTGGCCATATCCAGAAAGCGCATGGGGCCCTACAGCGACTCTGACAGCGAGGGCACTCATGTCTACTCACTGAGCAGCGAGGAGCCTTCCGACGATGACGAATAACTTGAGCTGGTACTGAGCCGTAAGGAGAAGAGGCCGAACATCAGAACATCTTCGTCATCGATTAGGTTGAATGAAAGAGTGCAAAGAAGACCCGTGACAAACACTAACGTTTTTGTCCCTGAGGTACCCGACGGCAACATGAAGCGTCTCACAGGCAATGTGTTTCGGTGATGCTGGAAGGACTCGCACCAATTGAGATCACAGACACCAGAAGGAACGTGCGTAAGAACGTATTGGCGACCGACGTTTCACATACTGCTGCATTTAATACATTGCGCAACGTCAACAACGCGCGCCTCTTCAGCGGCCAACACGATGCTGCAACGGATGTCAAAGCTAGCCGGCGTCAGCGAGGTGGTGGAAATCGCGCTGCTGGCCTAGGTGGGGATTTGTGGAGTTGGAAAAAAGGGTGCCTCAACTTCCTGTTTAAGTGAAGTGGGATTCCTTCATCAGCGTGGTACCCCCAAATTGTTTGCCCTTCAGATAGATAAACGAAACACCGATGAAGTGCTGGAGGAGGAGCCACTGCTCTCTCGGTGAAACAGTTCTGTCCTCTCTTGCGGGGATCTGCTGTCAGCCGCACGCATCTTAAATGCTGTTAGCATTTATCAATTGATTATCACGATAACTTCCGCACTTTCTTTGTTAATTATATTCTTTCAGACCTTTTTGTTTTTAACGAATTTCAAGTATTTCCTGCATTTTTGGGCCCCTATTGGCCACAATATTTTCACTGTAATCACGGCACATAAGCTCCGAGCATGGAAAAGCTGGGCCCTTAAAGAGCTAAGAACTGAAACATGCCCACTTTTTGCGTTTGCTAACTTTGTTCTGCTGTATTAGTAATTGTGTGAAATGCAATAAATGTTCTATTTTTGTTTGTTCTCGTTACTTTTTCGTAAAATAAGTCGAACTCATTATTTACGTTAATTAAAACCTACTTGTATGGTATATGGCGTGAAACAGTCTTGAAAAGACTCCATTCCGTCGAGGTAGTTGAAAGATACTTATTTACACATATGAGGTCATAGAGACCTTGCTACTACTTTTATGGCTAGAGACCGGTGTATAGGCAAATGCCTACTTTGTTTCTTGCGTTCTTATCATGCCCTTTTGAGATGTGAGCACTAATTAGAGGGTGAGAAGAGCTTTTATAGTGTTTCTATGCTGCCTATAGATGCCTATTTTGGACGTTGGTGCCTAAATTCCAATAAATGCCTATAAATGCCTGTTTTTAAAACTGGTATCGATGTAAACGCTATGTAACCTCAAACTCTACTTTCAAGTACCGCTGGAGTCCGGTATTCATGTTACATGGCAAAATTGAGCTATCGGGACACTGTGAGGGGCAACCTATACTCCATCTCATAGGTTACTTCCAGCACTGTCAAGGCTGCAAGGCATTTTAGCCAATAGAAAGGTCGATTAAACTTTACGCATGTATTCATCCGCATCGCGTCGTCTGCTCAACATTCCTCCGTCGTCTGCTCGCTTGTGTAGGGAGGAGGAGGTGCTTCTGTGCAAGCGGCAGGACGATGAAGAACGAATGCGAAACCATTGAGTATCTTCATGAAAAGTAAAATGTAGATAAAAAATATCCATATGGTTTTTGTCTTATTTGTCATTTACTTCCTAAATGACACTTCCCTAGGTAGCATGATAAATTTTACTTAGACAGTGAAAGTTTTTGCGAGACCAATGAAAGGCTTTGTGTCACTAGAACTTTCTAATTGGTTCATTACTTTCTTTAGAAAGTAATAAAGCTTTCTAATTGGTTTATTGTGCTTTCGTCCTACACCGGGAGACCTGTTTAATTTTGGAAAGCACTTGTTTCTTGGCTGTCAGGTACGTGTTTGTGGAGCACGCTTTTGTGGAGTGATGTCTTCATATGCAAAACACACAAATCTTTTACACACTATTCTCCAGACGAGTTCGTCAGCAGAACAGATGAAGACGGCTGGTCCCAGTTCTGACTTTGGTCTGGCTGGTTCGAAGAATGGTGAACACTGCTGTCTCGTCTGCAGATATCCTTGAGGTCACTCAACTCTAGGCTCTATATTTTGATAGAAAACAGCATCAGTACACCATCAAGTCACGAAGGATCAGCAGCATCGTCCGTATCACAATGTGTGGCATAGGTACGGTGGTAGAGAACAAAGATGTCTCGTGGTAGTGCCCTCAGTACGATGTCACAGACCGTAGACGAAAATTAGGACCTGGTTACAGCCACTCAGTCTAGCCCTCGGATGTTCGCGACCACTTCGTCATAGAGTTTTCGTAGTGCTCTTGTGTCACTGGATTCTCGAACAAAAGTCAGATGAGAAAATATTGAAAAGTATTCCTGTGCCTGGCACACCTTATCACCGAAGACTTTCCGTAGCATGCTTACAGCATCATTGTACTATACCTCAGTCGTTGGAGGACCGGCCACAGGTGAAGCAGCATCTCCTTTCAAGAACTGTGCCAAATAACGAAACTTCTCCGTCGTCGTAAGAGTGTTGTTGTTGACATTCTGGACAAACTGCTCTCAGAAGTGCGTCTGTTTACACACATGCCTAGCGAAGAATCCAGATGTGACCTTCGGTCAGATGGTGCAGCGATCGTGTGGAAGCCCTCCCTAACCTATCTTCTGCTTGTGTACTCGAAATGTGTTCCTGCCTGGTTAGGAGCTCAGTGAGAATACGCGTCGCGTTGTTCTCGTACTCCAGTGTGGTATAGTACTTGACTTCGAAGTCTTAGTCCGAGGTGAGACTTCAATTCAGCGTTGACCTGTGTGGTGCTCAAATGGTTATTTTGTGCTGCTGAAATTGAAAAGGAGAGCTATATATACATCAGGGGGGGGCGGAGCAACTAAAGCTTCAGGAGCATTAAAATGAATGCATAATAAATTAAAGTTGTACACAAGCGTGTGCCAGAAGGGTTACTGCACAGATGATGCGCTTTGTAGCATAATTTTCCCATTCTATGTTATTGCATGCAGGGACGAAAAAGCATGTGCAGCAATCTTCTCATATTTTCTCGTGTTTTATCAATATATTGAAATAGCTCTCTGTATACAATATTACACCGCGTCGTTTTATTCCTTTTTGTTTGCAGATTTACCAGGATGTGAGTTGTACGCATGGGACAGTTACGTCAATGAAACTTCAGATGGGTGCGAGGAAGCATACCGAAAAATATGTACAGGGAATGCTTCTGTAGTTTACTTTAACAACTGCACGAAGGAGGTCTCAAATATATGTTAATAATGTCTTCGGCATAAGGTACGAACTCAGCGTTACCTACCGCTGCTGTTTCTCTCCCATGTTAAAGTGCAATAAAGTTTTCGAAGCTGAAGTGAGAAAATAACCTGTGTCTTTACACCACCTAGTTGTGTTGATAAAATACCTGGAATGCAGGGGGGAAATGTTTACATAAGTGACCAACTACAGCAGCAAAGTTTGGACTAATAGGCAAAATTTTGGTACTGGAGCCTTTCATAAACGGTATCTACCATTCTTGTCTAAACATGTTTAAAGACAAGACAACCTCCGTCGCGAATGGTCTACAGCGCTCTTTGATCCCTTATAATATCTTTGGGTTACGGTAGAAAATCTGCGGATCAACTTCTCTCTGCATTGTGTAAATCAATGGAGCAATGGGCGTGGCACTTCAAAGGCACCAATTTAGCAGGGGTTGAACAATTTAGAGGGCACAGTTTGTAAAACAATATAAACAGTGGCCATCTCAAATGCACAAAATCGGGCAGCGAAGCTCGGTTTTGTGGTTGCTACGTAGAATGACGCGGTGTTGCAAGCGGCCTTTACAAGCCCAGGAAACTCGGGATCAAGGTGCCGAGGCAGCGTAAAAAGACTGAAGGGTAACTTTGAATGAGTTTATTCACGTTATTTGCAATGTGAGCATTTCGTTACATGAAAAACATTTCTTTTTTATGCATTCGTTAGCTGTCTTTTGCGAGATTAAAATCTTTTTGATTTGTGCTGAATTAGCTATTAGAGCTCATAATGAAGGGTCTCTTTTCCCCAGATTCATCAAAACTAGAATGGCTTGAAATATTCTGTCAAGTGGTGCGACACACCCCACTTCCGAAGGTACCGCCCAAGCTCGTCAACGGTCAACGCCTTTCACTAGCACACAGCAATCGCGCGGTGCAGCTCTGGCACCAAGGTTGTCATTTTTTAACATGTGAAGGCCGCATTGTGATGAGACACACACTCTGGCATGCAGGCCCATCAAAAGGTACACCACTCTGAAGTGCTTTGCCACTCAATTGGCGGAAAGAGTTGTCATGCACGCTGACTCTTCGATGAAGACGTCACGACCAGAAACCGTCTTGATCATGTGGTATCATTATGCGGCGTCAGACTGCATGGCGCCTCACTTCCTGGCTCGGGAGCAGAACAGACGTGTTTAAACTTTTCTCAGTAGGTCAGCAGACCTTCAGCAATTGGTTTGCAAAACAGGGAACACCACTTGGACTTCGCCGCAATCACCAATTATAACGACTTGTTTGGCTGAGGTAGACTCGACCGGGTAAACAGACTGACCAAAGCGTCATTAGGTGTTATTCTGCGGTTTACTGCCGATGACGCCCAACCATCAACTTCACTGCTGGTTCCTCGTGCTATTGTCCTGGGAATGCGAAAACATGCGCAGGCTTAGGAGAGCACCCTGCAAGCACTAAAGCACATCGATTCAGACAAACCCATATGAGAATGTGTCTTAAATATTGTCGCGGGTATCAAAAGGTACCTCAGGCACGGGTGCAGAAATGACACAGAAGGGATGAAGACGACGATGTTGTTGTGGGGCCGTGTCTGGACTGCCGTGTTGTCCTGCCTCCTTGCACACTCTGTGCAGTGTTAGCCCAACCGGTGCTCACTTAATAAATACTCCCCATTACATATTTTTGGTGGAAGGGCTGGGTAACATTGTGACCCTGGATCTCCGTAGCAGATGTCAGCTTCGTCCAGCCACGATGCCTGAAGGCAATGCGCCATCCATTCAGTCGATGCCTGCTACATCACCTGTGATCTCTTCCCATCTTCTCGATCAGGTAGATTTTGCAGCACCGACACAACTGACGTTGACGAGTGGCTCGCCTTATACGACGCATCAGCAAGCAATACAGGTGAGATGAGAGGCTTTTGCTGGCTAATATCATCTTTTACCTTCAAGGTGCTGCTTGCGCCTGGTATCAGACGCACGAGGAAGACCTCACGAGTTGCGACGCATGCGAGCAAAAGCTCCGTGACTTGTTCGGCTGGTCAATTGCTCGACAAATGGCAACCAGGCAGGAACTCGCGTCACGAGTTCAATCTTCTACCGAGTCGTACGTCACCTATATCCAAGACGGGCTCGCCTTGTGTCGAAAGGCCGACAAAGACATTATCCAACTAGACAAGGTCAGCAATGAGATGAAGGGCATAGCCGACGATGCGTTCAACATTCTGATATGCGAGAACTGTACCACAATTGACTCAATTTTCAGTGAATGTCGGTGGTTCGAACAAGCCAAAAGCAGGAGAATCACTGATCGTTTTTCCCGACTCCCGAACACCGCCGCGACTTCTTCCTGCAATGATCCTGTGGCACTACCTCCATTCGTGAGTCCTCCAAACATCAAATGTCCGCCATGAGCTGGAAGCCATGGCTTCTTCCACTTATCAATCCCCTGTGCCTGACGACTTCTCCCAATATCTCTTGTTCAGGCTGCTGTGCGACAAAAGTTTGCCAATATGGGCGTCTTAGTTCTCCAATACTGCAGCCACACAACGCAGCCCATAAACTACAACGCTCACTACCACGCCGCCCCGCTTGTTGCTGCTGCCGCGTCGGTCTCGCGGTTTTCATCGCCCTACCGAAATCCACATGAGTGGCACACACAAGATGATTGACCGATATGTGTCTCTTGCCATCGCATTGGCCACATTTCCCGCCCCTGCCACAACAGATGGTCCTTCCGGCAACGTTTTCTAGACGGCCACCGACAGGATCGTGGGCAGTATTCGCCACCTCGTTTTGCCAATTACAGCCTTCAGGACCTACCACCTAGCCGTTCTGCGCAACGCTCCGAACCATCCTAGACCGATGTCGTCGCCCAGGGAACCCGGTCCAGGCGCTCGCCATCACCTCAAGGTCGCCAACCGCGCTCCTATCAGCGCCGTCGCTCCTCGTCACTGGCGTATTCTGGGCGATTCTCGGGAAACTAACAGATGCAGCTCTTGGAGGTGGCGCTGCATTGACAACTCGGAACGAAAAACATCTACCGACCACTAATTCCAGATGAAATTTACTTGGTGTTCTTATCGATGGCCTGACCGTTAAAGTTCTAATAGACACTGGTTCCCACATATCCCTTATGAGTTCACGTCTTAGATTCCGCCTGAAAAAAGTTCTTACTCCTCACCTTCACCAAAAATATGTAACGGGGCGTATTTAATAAGATAATGCCCGTTGGGCGAACACTGCACACAGTGTGCAAGGATGCAGGATAACAGGACAGTTCGGACACGGCCCCAAAGAACTGGTGACGCTACTAGTGTACGACCCGACCCTGATAAAGTCCACGCGGTGCGCGAGTTTCCGGTCCCACGTTTCACGCAAGAGGTCCGCAGCCTTTTGGGACTCTGTTTCTATATCCGCCGATTTGTCAGCAGCTTCGCGGATATTGCTCGGCCCCTTATGGACCTCCTTAAAAAGATTGTGGCTTTTTCCTGGCGTAAAGACCAAGAAAATTCCTTTGCGCCGTTGATTTCTGCACTCACATCACCACCTGTGTTGGCTCATGTTGACCCAGCCACTCAAACGGAGCTTCGTACCGACGCAAGTGGCCGTGGCATAGGGGCAATACTCGCACAAATGAAGAACGGCACAATCCGTGTCATAGCGTGCGCTAGCCGCCTACTTTCTCAGTCGGAAAGGAACTATTCAATTGCTTAGCGAGAGTGCCTGGCTCTCATCTGGGCTATCGCAAAATTTCGTCCGTACCTATATGGACGCACGTTCGCAGTCATCACAGACCACCATGCACTCTGCTGGCTGTCAACCCTGAAGGATACTACAGGAAGACCCGGGTGATGGGCTTTGCAATTGCAGGAGTACACGTTCTCTGTAGTGTGCAAGTCTGACAAGCTTCACAACGATGCAGACTTTTTATCTCGACAGCCTGTTGATCCACCTTACTCTTCTTAGTTGGAAGCTGATGCCAACATCCTAGCCATAACAGATTTTGTTCAAATAGCCGACGAACAACGCTGAGATACATCGCTGCTATCGATCATTGACTGTCTTCAATCCGGCCATAAATACCCTTCACTGTGCCTGTTTTTTCTTCATGACAACGTTTTGTACCACCGCAACTGAGAGCCCGATGGCGCGGAACTTTTGCTCGTCGTCCAGTGTTATCTGCGCAAGGACATCTTGCAGGAACTTCCCAACGCCCCAACTTGCAGACATTTAGGTGTCTCCAGAACCTATGACCGCTTCCACTGACGGGTATTCTGGAAGGGCTTTTATCGTTCCGTTCGCCACTATGTTGCAACGCGTGACCTGAAGCGTCGGAAGAAGCCTACGTCTCTCCCTGCCGGTCACCTTCAACCTATTGAAGTCCAAGTCAACGCGTTTCATCGTGTGGGTTTGGATATGTTAGGTCCCTCCCCATCATCGGCAACGCGAAACAAAGGGATAGCAGTAGCTACGGATTATGCTACCACTGGGTATGCAATTACTCGAGCGCTATCGACCAGCTGCGCAACGGACGTTGCAGATTTCCTGCTTTATGACATCACCCTTCAGCATGGCGCTCCTTCTCACCTACTCATGGACCATGGCCACTGCTTCCTGTCTCGTCTGGTTGACGGCCTTCTTAGATACTGCGCTTCGTGGCACAACTTTACGACTTCTTACCATACTCAGACTAACGGACTTACTGAACGCCTCAACCGCACACTGACGGACATGCTTGCTATGTATGTTTCTGACGACCACACCGATTGGGACACTGCCCTTCCGTTCGTAACCTTCGCCTACAACTCGTCGTGCCATGAAACTGCCTGCTACTCACCATTTTATCTTTTCTTTGGCCGTGATCCTTTGCTACCTTTCGATACCCTGCTTGCGCATGACCTTCCGTCCACCACTTCGTACGCACAAGATGCCATATTTCGTGCTCTGATCGCACGTACAGTAGCCCGCGCCAGATTCTCATCATCTCAGAGAGCACAAAAGTCGCTTTACGACAGCCGACATAGAGATGTAGATTTTTCTCCGGG